TATTAGTATAGATTTTATTGTATTTCGTTTATAGAAGGGCAGAGAAAATCACATCCTATTCGATTATTTATAATAGCCTGAACTTTATCTATTGCTAGCTGATATTACTGGTGATATGGAGGATTGTATGTTCACAAGGGTAGTTACTTCTTTCTACCGACCTAATAAAGGCCGGTAGCCTCAAAGGGGTATTATAGCTTCTCCGAACTTGTAAGCGAGCTCACGTAGTTCAACCTAAGAGATTTTGCTAAGATCAGTGCCTCACTGAATCTATCACCGGATCGGAATTACGATGAGAAAATTTGGCTTAGATTAGTATACTGTTGCCCGTCGAAATCTTACGATAACCGGTGCTTAAAATGTCTAAAAGCACCGAGAGGAGATAGGGAGGATCTGTGTACGGATACTGATCCGATATCCGACTGGGCTATCCAACGCCCGCGCCGGCGTCTCCAGAGAAGAAGATGGCGGAAAGAAAGACTCACCTGACCTTTTCTTTCAATTTCTCCTAGAAGACTAGGTGATGAGAAAGGCGCGTAAGGTGCAAGACTAGCCAGGCAAAATCAACTAGTAACCAAACCCCATCGAACTCCATCACTCCGATTAGTAGAGGGTCATACTCGCTCATGATTGTTATATTTTCAATAAGAATATTCTAGTATGAAAGCTTTAGATTACATTACGGCGATGGACTGAAGTCTTGGGTCAGTCACGTAGTAGCCACGAGAAATGTAGTTTTGCGTCCCTCACGTAAGAGCTGTTAGAGCTAAAACCTTACTTTCATTTTTTTAATTATAAAATAGTATACCTACCACCCTGTCTAAGTAGTGACGACGTAGGCTGTATTTCCATTTCCCAATGTACTCAACGAATTTCCAATATCACTCTAAAGAATTGCACTCAAACATTAAACGCACAGCAAAGTAGTTTTATTTTATGGATTAAATTCTGAATCTTCTAGAAACAAGCGACACGAGAATAGTGGTTTTAGCAACACATCACTTAAAATACTGGCATCATCTGCATAGTGATGCTAAACCATTCAAAAGGAATGCGAATAACTTAAATAAATATGTATGATGGGTTACGTGATTTGAATAGAAATCGATGTAGTTAAAATATTTCAATCTTATTGCCTCCGAAGCCCCACATAACGAGGACCGGTTATCAGCGATAATAACGTCGCGGACTCTGATATTCTAACCAGTCCGTCAAAAGACACGTCATAGAATTCATTAAATAACTTTAAGTACCAAAAATTAATCACTTTGTGGACTCTGTTCCGATGACGAACAGTGGACAAATAATTACTCAGAGTTGCAAATGACGAGCACCGTAAACTACCGAGGCAGACGCAAAAGAATTGATACCGAAGCCGAATAAAATAATGTTCATTTAAAAATTAACTTGCTCTTCTAAAAAGTTGTTTTGTTGATTTTTTTACTATCGATGCCATAAATCTAAAAAAACTATCTTTATGTAGTCACTATTCGTGCACAGTCGCAGTTTCTTGAATTTCTTTCATATGCATGAAAATAATGTTGTGTTGCCGACAAATCAATGTCAAACTACGAGTGTGATATTTGAGCACTGTTTCTACGAGTAATAGTATATTCCAACTCAGCGCGGACCATCAGAGCTTAATGTCAAACTACGAGTGAGATATTTGAGCACGGCTTCTACGAGTAATAGTATATTCCAACTCAGCGTGGACCATCAAAGAGTTTAATGTCAAACTACGAGTGAGATATTTGAGCACGGCTTCTACGAGTAATAGTATATTCCAACTCAGCGTGGACCATCAAAGAGTTTAATGTCAAACTACGAGTGAGATATTTGAGCACTGCTTCTACGAGTAATAGTATATTCCAACTCAGCGTGGACCATCAAAGAGTTTAAGCGGCGTCACGATGTATTCGATTTTTGGTGTTAACACTTCGTGTCAGCTGAACCAGGAACATATCGCGGAAACTGAAGTCTGTCGAAAAGTGAATAGTTGGATGGCTTTCTTCGTCATGAGACACCTAGGGCTAAACAAAGCAGACCCGTCCTCACAGGGGGTTTTCTTTTTCGAAATCGTATTTATGTAGTCACTATTCGTACACAGTCGCAGTTTCTTGAATTTCTTTCTTATGAATGAAAATAAAGTTGTGTTGCCGACAAATCAATGTCAAACTACGAGTGAGATATTTGAGCACTGCTTCTACGAGTAATAGTATATTCCAACTCAGCGTGGACCATCAAAGAGTTTAAGCGGCGTCACGATGTATTCGATTTTTGGTGTTAACACTTCGTGTCAGCTGAACCAGGAACATATCGCGGAAACTGAAGTCTGTCGAAAAGTGAATAGTTGGATGGCTTTCTTCGTCATGAGACACCTAGGGCTAAACAAAGCAGACCCGTCCTCACAGGGGGTTTTCTTTTTCGAAATCGTATTTATGTAGTCACTATTCGTACACAGTCGCAGTTTCTTGAATTTCTTTCTTATGAATGAAAATAAAGTTGTGTTGCCGACAAATCAATGTCAAACTACGAGTGAGATATTTGAGCACTGCTTCTACGAGTAATAGTATATTCCAACTCAGCGTGGACCATCAGAGTTTAAGCGGCGTCACGATGTATTCGATTTCTGGTGTTACCACTTCGTGTCAGCTGAACCAGGAACATATCGCGGAAACTGAAGTCTGTCGAAAAATGAATAGTTGGGTGGCTTTCTTCGTCTTGACAGACACCTAGGGCTAAACAACGCAGACCCGTCCCCACAGGGCTTTTCTTTTTCGATATCATGCTACAAAGCCTGGCACAAAGGTATAATTTATAAAATATACACCATGCGAGTGCCAGAAAGTTCATGCTCATCATACGAGACTTATTGTTAAACCATACGTTTCGGTATCTAGTCGAGGGAACTCGCTCTCTTCCGCGACAAATCTCAGCCGAGGTCCCGCAAGGCTCGGCTCTCTTCCCGCAATTTTTTATCCTATATATTAACAATACACCCTGGTCGGTGGTTACCCAGTTAGTCCTTATTGCGGGTGATACGGCTATCTACTACTCGAGTAAGAAAAATCTTAGCTCATGCATAGTAAGCTCCAGATCGCGGCCACCAATTTAAGACAGTAGTTCTGAAAGTGACGTATCGACATCAATCCCACGAAAATCACAGCAGTGCTCTTCAAAAGGGAGCGTCTACCCGACACCAGTGCTATTGTCTCACCATCCCCACATTCCCACCATCAAAATCTTTAGCCGGTCTTTGCCATGGGCCAAGTACCTAGGCGTCACCAGACCCACCTCGACAGAGGGATGACATTTGATGCCTACATCTAGATAATATGCGACCGTGCCGCTACTCCTACTCGGTCGACTATACCCCGTGATTTGCAAGCGAAGTAAATTGTTCCTTCGTAACAAGGGGACACTATAAAATATACATACGTTCCGTCATGACCTATGCAAATATAGTGTTCACCCACGCGCCTCGCATGCACATAAACTCACTCAGGACATTCAATACCGTTTCTGCAGGTTACACGTGAAGAATATCGACCTTCAAGACGAACTACATTTAGAACAGTAACAGTTACGTGAATATCTTAAGGTAGCGTCAGAATGCTACTTCGACAAGGCGGCGCGACAATTATCGAGGCAACGCAAAGCCGCCGTCACCCGAAAGACGTCAAACATGTACTTTATTTTACAAAACTTTATTGACAACAAACTTCCAGCAATGGAGAGCCAAATGAAAGAGATGAAAGTTGTCATACATATACAAACAGAAGAACAACTTTGTGTGAAGAAATAGATCGTTGACGCCTATGAAAATAATATGTTCTATCTTTATACTTTCTCATTATGGCAATGAACGATTGAGTGAGAAGACTCGAAGGATTCTAGCCTAGCATGATATCCAACAGACAACATTCAGCCTAGGGTTGTGTAATGGCATACACTGTAGGACCTTGCTGTGAAAAGATGTGTAGACCGAACCATGCCACGTTCTCTTCTTTGTGACCTTGCACAATAAATTGTAAATGAATAAATAGACACAGTGCATTTTCAAGTCTCTTCATAAACATACACACTCTGGAATATTTTATATATGTAAATGCAAATATGCTTCACAATAGGAATAAAATACACCTACAGGTAACTATACTTGAGACCTTAGAACTTATATCTCAAGGTATATAAAGAACTATTTATTATAGCAGTGGTTCAAATGGAATATTAATTGGCTACTTTAAATTTATTTATTTACCTTTAAAAAAACACTATCCTTTATCTTTTACGGGTTTAGGACTTCTACATCTGTTATAGGTCTGAAATAATTTAGCTGGCATAAATCATACTAGAGTGCCTCATATATAAAGTACTTCTAATAAAGGTATATTTTTTTTCTTTTTTCAGTTAAGTTTACACATCAATGCAGTGGAATATGAGAGTTGAAAATGATATAATTTACTGTGTTACAATAAGTCACTTTATGTAGGGATTTCAATTAATTTCAATTAAGACACTGACTGATAATTTTATCTCTACAAGCTCTTACAATGCAGCCACATCACAGACACGCCTATCCCATAAGAACATATTTTGGCTTTAGATTTAAGATTCCCATTCATTTAATACACTCATTACAATAATATTATAGAGAAACATTATTTTTCTTCATTAAATACTTCACATATTACTAGCCAACAGTTGAATACAGCTCTAACTTGTGAGGTATTCCTCTCCACCAAGATGGAATATTTAATAAGATGGAATAAAGATTATTTTAGCGTCAGCTTTTCATTTTAAAGATCTTCAACAAAAATATCGCACTTTTAAATATAATTTCCTAGTTTATTGAAACAGTACCATAGTGAAGTTTAAGAAACGATCCTTAAATAACTATTTGGAAGTAATGTATGCATGTCTAAAAAAAAATGAATTTGAATAAGATAAAATAAAATTACCTGGAAGTCAGCAAATAATTTAGTTCAAAATAATTTTACCTTAGCATTAGCTTTTATTAAGAACACACGTTCCGTTAAATCATACTTTAGAAGAAAACACTTTTTAAAGCACTTAATTGTAAATAAACCAACCGAAAAAAAATTAAACAAATAACTAACACCACACTTTACAATTTAATCTCATTTCATGATAAAAATAAAATTGTATGTACTTTATTTCAATTTTTGAATTATTCCACCAAACGTCATAGCAATCAAATGTCATCATAGATTATACACTTAAATATTGAAATGTCATGAATCTCAACAATCTTCCATGATCCTGTCTGTCAAAATGGATAGACTTTTTGGCGGGAGCGCGAGGAGTGAAGTTGTGTGATTTGTTTTATTTTGTCTATTTAGTGTTTCTTCGGGTTTAAATGTGTAATAATGGTGATTTATTAACTGTTTAATATCTGTGAAAGTGCACAAATGTGGGAAAATGAAACAAAGCCGCTGGACGTAACTTCTCGGGATCCTCCAAAAAGTCCACTGAAAAAATCTTAGTAAATGACCACCATTTTACTGAGATTATATTTCATCCCATATCATCTCATTTCATTTCATTTGATTTCATCCCAGTTTATTAATTTCTCAAATTAATCGTCTTCATTTCATTTCACTCCATAATATCATTTTTCATAAAAATATGAATATAAATTAAAATAAGACATGACTTAAAGGTCTCAGTTAGCAAGTCATAAAATCCCTTAAAAAAAATGAATATAATTTAACCATAGACCTATATAGTATATAACACAAAATTTCAGTGCAAGTAAACATCCATGAATTTAAGTAGGTACCGTAAAATGGGGCGATTAGGGACAAATTCCAACTTTATGAGCAATTTTAAGGTAGTTGTTGATGTATATAATGCTATATCAGGATCAAAATGATTGAGTCTTGGGGGCATCTTTGTTGTCTAATTTAAAATTATGCAACTAGCATTCCAGTTTATGCAAAAAATGCAAAAATAGGTGTAATCCCTATTTACCCGAAAATTGCGGTTAATTGGGACGAAATGAGAAATTTGCTAGGGTTGGCACTACTTTTATTTTTATATATAGTTTTAATTTATTTATTTATTTAGTTGCACCAACAAAGTGATCATCAATAAAAAAAATTGAAAAACTGACAAAAGTACATGGCAGACATCACCTCAATTATAGGTGCAATCGACAGTGCTGATATTTCTATCTGGGTTAAGAGATTAGGTGTGTCGGTTATTCCATGGATTAATCAGATGAATACCCCCACTCTGAACAAATATTAAATATTTTATTATGTATTACTTAGACATTTTTGTCCACCTTGAGATTTCATTGATCTTGTTACATGTCTCTGCAAAATCGACTTACTTATATTAAATTGCTTATCTATTTCAACTAAAGACTTATTCCCAATTTCGCTTCGAATAAACCAGATTTTTACCAACAAATTTAAAAAATATTGTTATAACTACATAGACAACCCTACAAACCTGTACCTATTTATACTTAGGTCGTTTCCATTTCACGTATTCTCATCCCAATTGACCCCTTTTTCGTTGTTATTTGTACCTAAGACGTCCCCAATATCCCCAAAAACAACAGATTTTTACATGTATTTTTATTTAATCAAATACATTAAAACCAATAACAACTGAGACTTACCTTTAATATATATGCTGGTTCAAACACTAAATAACGTTTATAAATCATAGTCGTCTTCTATTATTATCAAATAAATAAAAGAGAGCAAAGTTTCTAGCACTAAAATAATTACCACCACAGGAAGTTAATTTGAAACGCGATTTTTTATAAGTTAGCAGCTATTATCATGCATATTCAGAGTTGTTTTGTGAACTATCAACATTCTACTATTAAACTACAAAAAAATGGAAGATTTTGCAACGAATATAAAACTTATATTGAGCGTCGAAAGATTTTCCCGGTTTTTTCCCGATTCGCCTTTCAATCCCTAATCGCCCCATTTTACCGGTACTGTGTATTTTGCATTAAAATTTGGATTTAATACATTTTTATTTCCCTCCGTTTCAAACCATAGACTTAAAAATACCTACATTGACGTCCAAAAAAAATTTTAGATCCCTCGTGTCGTGGGGTATCCGAATCACCCCCATGTATGTTCCGCGATTTTTGATAGTTTTCGAGTTATGATTTTTTTTTATTTTTCGAGAATTTACGACCTGGCCCACTTAAAAAATTTTTTTTTCAAAATTTGAAGACTTTTCGTGACTTTTTTTGCAATTAATTTTCTATGTGTTGTTTTTTATGCATAAAATAACCAGCTTCGTTACATTTTTAGAAAATGTAAAAATTTTGGTGTAAAGAGAAAAAATTACGGTCGGTGAATAGGACTTACGTTTTCAACTTTAAAATAAAAACCTAAACAGATGATTAAGTAGTTTCTAAGTGACTTTGAAAAATGCGTTAGACTCTCAGCTTTCATAACCAATAAAAAAAAGTACTGCTTAACGGGCTAGTTTGGCTAAAATTGGCCTTCAAAGACAGCGAGGTGGAAAATTCTTAAATTTTTTTGGTCCAAAAAAAATTTTTTATTTTGAAAATTCTATCATTCGTAATGTTAATTAACGATAGAGAATGCTAGAAATTAACCAAAACATATCGAGGTTGTTTAAAAAAAGTTTCAATTAAGAAGTGGTTAAAACACAGAAATGATAATGTCAAAATTTATTTTTAAAATTTACAAAAGGTTTTCAAAGTTACCACCTCCAGCAGCAATACACCTTCTACACCTGCGTAAGAAATTGTCTTCTAATCGGCTAAATTTTCTTTTATCCTACCTACGCTGATTAATATTATGCTGCTTAATACCGAGAACTCGGCATTAAGCAGCATCTTTCTTTCAGCGCTCGTTTTTTTTTTTTTATTGTTCATATGAGTGGACGAGCTCACAGCCCACCTGGTATTAAGTGGTAACTGGAGCCCATAGACATCTACAACGTAAATGCGCCACGCACCTTGAGATATAAGTTCTAAGGTCTCAGTATAGTTACAACAGCTGCCCCACCCTTCAAACCGAAACGCATTACTGCTTCACGGCTGAAATAGGCAGGGAGGTGGTACCTACCCGTGCGGACTCACAAGGGATCCTACCACCAGTAATTACGCAATTTATAATTTTGCGGGTTTGAATTTTATTACACGATGCTATTCCTTCACCGTGGAAGTCAATCGTGATCATTAATTGTTAAATACGTATTTCATTAGAAAAATTGATACCCGCCTGCGGGATTCGAACACCGGTGCATCACTACATACGAATGCACCGGACGTCTTATCCTTTAGGCCACGACGACTTCAAATGAACACACTGTGACACATGTGAACGCATACTATCATTTTTTGGACATATCTCCCGGCGAGGAAATTACTCCATAGAGCGCCTTGTCGTTCAGGGCAAAGTAGAAGGCACCAGACCGCGTGGAAAGTTGCCCATGCGATGGACCGACCAGATCAAGTCGGCAGTTGACGGCAGTTTGCATGAGTGTACCAGGCTCACCACAAACCGACAGGAGTGGCGATTGCTCGTGAGGTGCATAACATCTGCCCACAGCAATGATGCTGGATGACGATCACGACCGCTCTGACAAGAGTGATACGACATACGAATACGAAATGCTGATAGCCTTGAGAGGCTATATCAGCTTCTCCTTGACGTGTAGGTGAGCTCACGGGGCTGAATCCGGGTGTGTTGCTAACACTGGCCCTAGCAAGAGCAGTACTTCACAGAATCTACCACTGAATCGGAAACGCGACCCACTGAGAAGATCCGGCGAGAAACTCGGTGGACTGTGTCTCGGTGGCTTAATTCACTCGTCGAGCCCTTCGTCGTAAGCGACGGGTTCGACAAGGACGATGACCGGTGCTTGTGGTACCTAAAAACACCGTTAATGAATCGTGAGGATCAGTAATGACGTGTTTAGGGCGACGTCGACTGTTTACCGTTCGGTCTACAGGATCAGGTATGTCGGCTAAAAGCTATCCTGTTCTCTTTTATAACACGTTTGGCTTCTGTAATCTTCTGCCTCAGCTTTTCTTCACTAGAAAATTGTCCTTAGACCTTAGCTTTCCTGTAGTTAATTTTGGTTAGTTAACAAACAAATTAACCTTAAGAATGATAAAATTGTCCAACAATTTTTTTTTGTCACACAAAAATTTTTTTAAGAATTTTCCACTATGCTGTCTTTGATGGCCAATTTTAGCAAAAGTAGCCCGTTAAGCACTACTTTTTTTGTTGATTATGAAAGTTGATAGTCTAGCGCATATTTTAAAGTTACTTAGAAACTATTTAATCACCTTTTTAGATTTTTAAAAAAGTTACGAAGCTGTTTATTTTATACATAAAAAAACAGCTTGTAGAAAATTAGTTGCAAAAAAAAGTATCGAAGAGTCTTATCATTTAAAAAAAAATTTTTTAAGTTGGCCAGGTTAAAAATTCTCGAAAAATTAGAAAAAAAATCATAACTCGAAAACTATCAAAAATCGCGGAACATACAGGGGGGTGATTCGGATATCCCACGACACGAGAGACCTAAATTTTTTTTTTTGGACGTCAATGTTCCGGCCACCCTGTATATATAATATTGACTGTAAAATTATTTTGATTTGAACATGATTTGATCGATAGCGCTCGGTACCCTGTGTTAATTATTATCTATTACATGAAAAAAACGTTTAGTAAAATAGGGATAGGTAAGCTATTTGTATCTGAATTCCAATGATCATTTAGTGCCTTTAGAACTTTCAAAAAACAATTTAAATGTATAAATAGTTAAATATAGCTGAATATACTAGTTCATGTAATTTAATTGTTTCAAATAAAAATTATGGATAATGGGGAGAGATTAAAAAATCAACGACGAAATTCAAAAAAATACAAATAGCCACTATAAAGTTATGGCTGTAAAATTAAATACAAAAGATTAATTAATAGCTTTGATAAGGATAAAATTGTTTTTATTCTGCTGAATCAAGTTGAAAAAAAAAAGAAATTAGCCACTTTCACAATATGTATTGCCCGTTGTTTTAAAAAAAATTCATTTGCTCTAGGCTTGTGTGATTTATCCATGATTATTTTTGTAATATTTTTTTTCAAAAAATTATATCTGGAGGAATTTAAAAGTATTGATTGATTGAATTTCCGAACTGAAATTTCTAAAAAACTTTTTACCTTCATTGATATAAGCAGCATATTGATATTGTTATCTTTTTCACACTCACTATGTGTCACATAATTCTAGACTACTCTTGTAAAGGCTATGATAGAGAATTCTAGAATATTCAACTGGAGCGTGATACAGCTGTTGAATTGGTAAGTTTTTGTTTGTTGCGCAATAAAAATTATAAAAACAATGTAAATAGTTATTCAACGCAATAATCCCAAATTCCAGCTACACATAGACAAGAATTCATAAGGTTACTACAGCCATGGCGAACAGCGCCTTTATGGACAAATTACGTTCGTTTCTCGGTATTCGGCAAGAGCCGCCTCGGAACGATTTTCGAAACCCAATCTGGGGTTCCGACGATGAAGACGACGGAGATGAATTATACTCTAGGAACGAGATGTCCGCTATCATAGATCCAATGGATCTCCACAGAGATTTCACCAAACATATGCACGAAATGTTTCGATCGTTTGGAAGCATGTTCGGTGACGTACAGTCATTTTTCCACGATGAAAACTTTGATTTTCCCGGAATCAGCGACTTGCCTTCCGACGAAGGTTCCAACCACGGTAACATCAGAGATTACTATTTGAAACCCGGCTATGACAATCACAGAGAGGCTCTCAAACAAGATGTGGATTTAGATGGGAAAATATCTTCTAACGAAATATCAGGACTCTTGAAACAAAAGGATAACATGCAGGATGCCAATCAGAAACCACTTTTTAATGGTAATTTGGTACCGGGAAGATCATTCTGTCAGACTATTATTACAACAAGTGTTAAGAAACCTGATGGAACAGTAGAGACAAGGAGAATTGTTAAAAATGGCAATGAAGTAACTGAAGAGACTGTCACATCAGGCCCTGTGACAAACATTGTCAACCCTACGATGGACACCATGACCACAAGCTTCATTTACAATGGTGTAATTTCTGAAGTTCTTTCATCATTGTTCCGAAATTTTTACTAGAACATAATATCATTCCCATTTGATATATATTGATAGCCATATTATAGTCATTTTAATTTAAGATACTAGCTTGTAATTTGATATCAAAATAAGTTAGTTTTTCCAATCATAAGTAACTGGAAATCTGTAGTTCTTCCTCACATATAAATGTTACAGTATAATCTTTAAATAGTACCTACTAACACGTATTGACATATATAAATATCAATGAAAGAGAAATAAAACAATTATATTATCTAGAATAAAATAATGTTTACACATAATTCATTGTACCTAGATAGATATTAATATCGATGCTTGAAAGGCAAACGTGACTAAGTGACAATAACTGTTTTGTACATAAATGATAGGCAATAACCATATTCGATGCGCAAAAAAAATATATTTCTAGGTCTATTAAAATCATTTCAATCCTACAGCTACTAGCTAGATTCTACTACAGCTAGATTCATTAAAATAAATTTTGTTTTCAGGTATTCCAACTTTAAATTAGTCTACTGTAAAGTTCACGCATTGTCGCTTAGTCACGTTTGCCTTTCAAGCGTTGATATTATCTAGAATAAAAAAATGTTTACACACAATTCATTGTACCTGGATAGATATTGATATGTAGAATGGATTTTTTACATTGTGTACTTATTTATTTGTATATTTTTTTAAATAATGAATGTATTCCAAAAATAGAAGTTCAATAAAATTTTCATTGCTTCTCTTATGTAATTAATTTGTGATATTTGTGTTTATTCTCTTACAAATTATTGCTGTTCTTGACAGAACTCAAATGTGTTAACTGTTTGTCTGTCCCAGTACACATCGCAATGTCCTGTGGCTCATCTTGAAATGAGATCTTTAAGGTGGACTCTCTGTATCTATGATTAATTCATTTCATATCATTCAAACTCAAAGGCTCTTCGCCTTGATGTAAATTTAAAAAGCAAAACCATGTTTTTATTCGAGATAACTAGTTGACCCGAAAGACTTCGTAGTGCCTCAATCAATAAATAAAACACATAAACTTTTGTACAAAATAAACTTAAAACAAACAAAAGGAATCCGTCCGACGGGGGACATATCAAAGGAAAAATGGTAGGCAGCGGCCTGGCTCTGCCCCTGGCATTGCTGACGTCTATGAGCGACGGTGACCACTTACCATCAGGTGGGCCGCACGCTCTTCTGCCTACAAAGGAAATAAAAAAAAATTATTTTTATTTAATTCCGAGCATATTCATATTTATCTACCTTTTAAACCTTCTGTGGACTTCCATAAATAATTCAAGACCAAAATTAGCCAAATTGATCCAGCCGTGCTCGAGTTTTAGCGAGACTAACGAACAGCAATTCATTTTTATATATGTATACTAGCTGACCCGGCAGACTTCGTAGTGCCTTAATAGACAAATAAAAGACCTAAACTTTACTTAAAACAAACAAAAGGAATCCGTCCGACGGGGGACACATCAAAGGAAAAATAAAATTGTCATTTTTATTTAATTCCGAGCATTTTCATATTTATCTACCTTTTAAACCTTCTCTAACGAATCTGTCGTGAGTTAATTTATTCTTTAAAAGAAAATATATATTTTTTTAAATTTATAAGAAGTTTTACTTCAAAAACGTAATTTGGATAAATAAACATTACTTTGTTCGACACTATAATTGACCGTTACGCTCGCAAAGATTTTGATGTAATCTGATCAAAGCGAAGACCGCGTGAAGGCTTCCTACCACGTAATTTTAACATCTCTGCCACCCGGTGCATTTTATACTCATATTATGGAATTAGGGAAACTCGGCGAAAATAGGTAGGAAATTAATAAAAAACACTATTTATAAATAAGTTTTATTCACACTAATCAATAATTTAGTCCACAATAGAGAGCTTGCCTAGTTTTCATTTAAATAAATCATAGTACACCCGCGATATCGTCTTGCAATATTAATTTCATTATGTTAAAATCGAAAGAGTAAATTATTAAATAAAGCAAAAAACCCTACTCTATTAAAAACCTTTAAAGAAAAAGTGGAATAATATAAAACTATAACTATGTTTAACGGGTTTTTTTGTTTTATTTAAGAATATGTATAATGTATTATAATCATTACTTTTTCGCGGTGGCCATATTGAGATATTATACACAATGTCACTGTCACAACTGAACCAAATATAATAACACCTCCAATTTTGAAATTCGTTAAGAGGACTTTACAGTTTGTTATGAAATTAAATAAACAACATACATAAGCTCGAAAAACATTACTTTCCTTGGCATTTGGGTAAAAGTGTTGAAATGGATTGTGCAATTTCAAGAAACAGGAGATACAATACCTCGTAGGTACCTATTTATAATTTTCATTGTTCTCTAAAGCACTTTATGACTAATAATAATTGATAAATTAGGTACCGGTAAAATGGGGCGATTAGGGATTGAAAGGCGAATCGGGAAAAAACCGGGAAAATCTTTCGACGCTCAATATAAGTTTTATATTCGTTGCAAAATCTTCCATTATTTTGTAGTTTAATAGTAGAATGTTGAAAGTTCACAAAACAACTCTGAATATGCATGATGATATCTGCTAACTTATAAAAAATCGCGTTTCAAATTAACTTCCTGTGGTGGTAATTATTTTAGTGCTAGAAACTTTGCTCTCTTTTATTTATTTGATAATAATAGAAGACAACTATGATTTATAAACGTTATTTAGTGTTTGAACCAGCATATATATTAAAGGTAAGTCTCAGTTGTTATTGGTTTTAATGTATTTGATTAAATAAAAATACATGTAAAAATCTGTTGTTTTTGGGGATATTGGGGACGTCTTAGGTACAAATAACAACGAAAAAGGGGTCAATAGGGATGAGAATACGTGAAATGGAAACGACCTAAGTATAAATAGGTACAGGTTTGTAGGGTTGTCTATGTAGTTATAACAATATTTTTTAAATTTGTTGGTAAAAATTTGGTTTATCGAAGCGAAATTGGGAATAAGTCTTTAGTTGAAATAGATAAGCAATTTAATATAAGTAAGTCGATTTTGCAGAGACATGTAACAAGATCAATGAAATCTCAAGGTGGACAAAAATGTCTAAGTAATACATAATAAAATATTTAATATTTGTTCAGAGTGGGGGTATTCATCTCATTAATCCATGGAATAACCGACACACCTAATCTCTTAACCCAGATAGAAATATCAGCCCCTAAGTACTTACCAAGAACGGAGAAATATAAACCGTTTCTAAGAAAGCCTACTATATATGTGTAAATATATATATATATATATATATATTTTTTGTTGTTACTGCACTGTCGATTGCACCTATAATTAAGGTGATGTCTGCCATGTACTTTTGTCAGTTTTTCAATTTTTTTTATTGATGATCACATTGTTGGTGCAACTAAATAAATAAATTAATTAAAACTATATATAAAAATAAAAGTAGTGCCAGCCCTAGCAAATTTCTCATTTCGTCCCAATTAACCGCAATTTTCGGGTAAATAGGGATTACACCTATTTTTGCATTTTTTGCATAAACTGGAATGCTAGTTGCATAATTTTAAATTAGACAACAAAGATGCCCCCAAGACTCAATCATTTTGATCCTGATATAGCATTATATACATCAACAACTACCTTAAAATTGCTCATAAAGTTGGAATTTGTCCCTAATCGCCCCATTTTACGGTACCTATTAAGTGAAACCACTTTTATGACGCAGTTGTCATTTACGGTATTTGAATAATTTAATAAATGCAATGAAATTGTTATTCTCAACAAACAACACTGGAACGACTCATTTTAGCAATAATTACGTCGAGTTCTGATTTAAAATTCATCCTCAACTATTATTATTATCGGCAATCGTGTAATTTTCTCGTATCTGTCTCGAACGTTCCAAATTCGAAAAAAATGAATAGTCCTTAAGTTTCCAACAGTTTAAGTATAAATGTTTCCGACGTGGTTAACGGACAAAATACGCCTATCAGAATATTGCAGTGAGTTGATCTCTAATAACCTCTAATAAATTAAAATTTCATACACCGTATAATATATTAAACATTAATTAAATTTATCTGAGAAACAATTTGTAGAACATATCAGTCAACCTCTGATAACAGCGCGGCACCAAGAAGTAAAACAAAGGTTTACAATTTGACATTTGAACAATTAAGTAAAAGCCTCCTAGCAAAATCAGGAACCAGGGTGCGAAGTTTAAGCTATAGCAGTGTTTTTATTGACAATTGCAGGCATCGCGAGTGTTCTGTTTAATCCAAGTGAGGTATCGATTGACACGGGTATAAACGCCTGGTTTGTTTGGTCGCGCGCATCCTTCGCCCCAAGACACGACACCTAAAAAATCAACATTGACATTACAATCCAATATCATCATCCATAATTGCAGACCTCGTCTTTTTAGGCTACTATTACTAGTTTTGTTTCTTTTACTTGATTTACATCTATAATCCCATTTGAGGTCGGGTGCTCTCGTACCTTTGCACAAAAAAATCTCCTTACCGACTTCAGAGTATTTTGATGTCTCCATTTCAAGAACATGCATCGGTCCACCCGAGTCTCCCTGACAAGCGTCACGACCGCCCTCTGGCTCTCCAGCGCAAATCATATTATCTGTTATCCGATCACCGTAGCCTTTACGACATTCTTCATTTGTCACAATCGGTACTTTCACCTGGAATTTCAGTACATATTTATATTTATGTCGGAAAAACCATTAATAATTTGATAAATGTTATGTTCTATTAGTTTTAGTTGGTTCAACTATAACAAGCCAAGTCTACCGCCCCTAACACGTAGGCGAAAGTCCAGCGATTCCCTCCTAACCCATAAAAAGATCTATTATTGGCCCGTACTCTTATTATTTTGTCGATATCTGCTGCGAAGCGTTAACGCTTTCCGGTTTGAGCTTGAGATAACCATAACACAATTAAGAGACTTCATATCTCAAGGTGAGTGGCGGCTTTTACGTAGCGATATCTATGAGCTCCGGTGACTGATAACATCATTATCAGTCGTGAGCTCTACATACGACATCTACCTCTGCGGGTTCACAAGATGCTCTACCACAAGTAATTATGCAACTTATAATTTTAAAGTCGAGTTATCAATAGCCTCATATTTAATAATAATTCTTTGCGACAAGCCATGAAGTCGAGGGATCTTTGCAAAAATCACTCTTATACATCCTAACCCTTCCTACCACCTTCACTGGTGGTAGGACCTCTTGTGAGTCCGCGCGGGTAGGTACCACCGCCCCGCCTATTTCTGCCGTGAAGCAGTAATGCGTTTCGGTCTGAAGGGTAGGGCAGCCGTTGTAACTATACTGAGATCTTAGAACTTATATCTCAAGGTGGATGAGGCATGACGTTGTAGATGTCTATGGGCTCCAGTAACCACTTAACACCAGGTGGGCTGTGAGCTCGTTCGCCCATCTAAGCAATAAAAAAAAAATACATATTTATATTTTTTATCTTGTTCTCAGGGTCACTACATATTCAGACTAGTAATTATTAACTAAATTTTATGGTGTGATTGAAACATTTAAATCAATTATTGGAGATTGGAGAAGTTGGAAAACGGACACCCCAACTTTTTGCTTCTCGCTTTAACAGTTTTTTACTGAGTTTTAACTGTCTTAAATTACAATGTAGTTATAATTGTGACTCTTTTCTGTCGAAACCTATAGTAATTATTGACAAAATCTTATCATGTCATTGGTACATTAAAACCAATAAAATTACAGATTGGAAAATGGATACACCAACTTCTTGGTTCTAATATTAACAATTCTTTTACTGGGACACAAATAATAACGTTGTTTAGTAATTGCAACTCCTTACTGTTAAAATCTATAGGGATAAATAAAATATTTTTACTGTATGGATTCACATAGCATAATTATCGCTCACCTCCTGCAATGCATTGGAAACAGAGCCACCTTCCTCTGTAGTTCCCCAGCCTGTGACAACACCCGTGTAATTTTTATAGGACAGTCCAGGATTGGGTAAGCAGACCGGCCTTAGCCCGACGTCCTTGTCGTCATCCGTGGCAGTGCCGTTGTCTCCTTCACTGCGAACTCGCTTCAATGCACTGCTGAGGTCTACCTGGAAGTTGGTGCCAAATTTCGTGGATCACCATGTGATGTTTACATTTATGAAAACTCTGCAAGTTTCTTTTTTGCCTTCCTAACTACCAATAAGCACGAAATACTTCGCCTGAGAGAAATTACCAACATCTGCTCTAGCAAGAGCAGGGCTTCGCTGAATCTTGCGATATCGCGAAGGCTTCGACAAGGTCTGTCATAAGGTCTTTCTGTCGAAGTTATTAATCCCCAAGGGACTCTGCAAAGGGATCGCTATTTTTTTTGGTCGGCGGAACATCACAGTAGTCGACGATGCGTTCACTGCGAAGAAGGACCCTTTCATCATAGCGCCGCAATTCCAAGAAGTATCCCTAGAGCTTTCTACAAGTATTGGAATATTTTGGCTCCACGCTTCGAGCGATTTCCAATATCAGTAAATTGGAAAGCAGGACCAAGCTACCATTAAAGATGCTAAGAGTCCTCCACAAAGCGATATGGTACTTCAGGGCTACACGGCTGGACAAAGACTTCTTTACATAGCACAAGTCTAGCCTCGCGTGGAATATACTGCTCCCACCTCTAGGTCTACCAGCTACTTCCATTTGACTCCATACAGAAGAGGGCCGTTCGGATTGTCGATAATCCCATACTTCAGGGATCGTTTGGAACTTCTGGGTCTGCGAAGGAACTTCGGTTCTCTCTGTATTTTATACTATACGTTCCATAGGGAGTGCTTTCAGGAATTTTTTGAGATGACCTTATTATCTCTTTTTTTCTGCGGGAGCAAAGTTCATCTCTACTACTTAGAAACATTGAGTGCATCCACAGTGCGATTCTAGAGCTGTTTTCTGTCACGCACCATCCTCATTTGGACTGAACTTGCCTCTTCGGTGTGTCCTGCTGCTATAACATATCTTTTTTCAAACGAGTAGGCCGGGGCTAGATGTGGCCCCGGCATCTCTGACATCCACAAGCGAAGGTAACCACTCACCATTATGTTGGCCGTATGCACGTTCTGCTAACAAGGGCAATAAAAAAGGCGCCGAGCCCAACTTACCCTCTCAGCTAGTTTTAAAAGGGCGATATCACTGTCGTAAGTTCCGGGATTATACCGAAGATGACGAATGATGTCAGACACCTTTCTGTCTATCGTTTTAGTTTCGTTTACTTTAGAACGATCGTGCTCCAAGAACCGAACTGTAATCCGTTCCTTGCGGAATCTGCGGAATAAATTGGTGCACCACTAAAATCTTGTTAAACATAAGTCAACATACAACACGAGATATATAAGCGTGGTTTCTTGAGAGTTATAACTTTAACTAGGCCTGTCGTTGTGCGCTTCGCCACCCGCGTGCTAAACTGACAATGCTATCTTTACCCCTGCTTATCCTATTGCATATTGAATAAGGAGCCACCATGAAAAGTCTGCGTTTGTGCGGCGAACTCACTTCACGTCTGTTCCATTCCCAATAATGATCGTTTGCATTTTAGTACTTAACAAAAACGACTTTTATGGTTTAGTCTTGCGTTTCATAATTGTTTTGTATATTATTTGTAACGATTCGAATACTTTACATTATTTGTGGTCACGGACGACGGGCGCGATCAGACGTAAAAAGTAGTTTAAATTATGTATAGGATTCGCGAAAACCGAAGAAAATACAAATCAGTTACTTCTGGTACGCCGCTTGTTAACTTGTGTTTTGCAATTATCATCCAAAGGTTATCTGACCGTATCCAAGAGAGAAAGTAAAAAGAAATCCAATATTTTTTAACACTTTGACTAGGTATCCTTTTTACTACTGCTTCCGTCATTTTGAAGTTACTTATAAATACGACGAATTAATAACGGCATTGGAAAAAAAACTAAACCTATGTTCTGACGTTCTTTTATTAATGGGTATATTTAACAATGCAAATACCAGTTGCAGGTACTTATTTTAAACTCTTGACTACAAATATTATTGCTGGAACAATATGTCAACAATCAATTTTCTATAATACCTATTTCATTATCGTGCTGTTTCATTAGAAAATCAAATCTAGACGGACTCTCTGTTACACATGACTTAAAGCAAACGACTATAACAGTGTATAATTTAGATTGAATATCCTCTGAACTTTAAATAAAAGATCAACTCAAACCATTCCTACACGGTATATGGAAATTCAAAAGATAAGATCAACGTCTTGGCATCGTTCCAATGAATAGAAAATTTACTGCAATTCAACAATGAGAATGATGTCCGTTTTTGCATGCGTATTGCACAATTATGCAATAGCTAACCGTTTGACATTCATCCGTGGGCCTCGAACGACTGGTCTGGACATGCCAAGTTAACAAATGTTTTCTTAATTTATGCCTAATACAAAGCACGGGAATTGCATCGCGTGATTAGCTGATGATAGAAGCACTGCTAGATTCCGTCGTCAAATTTATTTTCTTAATCTTTGAAATCCTAAACAATATTTAATGAGTCTAATGAAGTATTACAAGCAACGAGATTAATGATTAATCACGAAACATTTGAAAATATTACTCGTAGTTTTGGAAAGAAACAATCAATTATAGCTTCTAAAGCGACTATTTTTTTAAAGTACAAAAACACAAATTTAATTTATTCTTCATTGTGTTTGTTCATTTTATATTAAAAGCAATTGAGTATGTAAAAAAAACCTTAAATAATAACTATTCATATGGCCATTGGTTGCCATAAATAAATATATACAGAAATAGAAATAAATATATGAATAATAAAAAAAAGCGCACACATATGTGCCAATGTCTTTGTCAAGGACTTCTTGAGGAGGTTAAGCAGTGCCAAAGCTATTAAAATCGAAAAAAACATCTTACCCTGAAGTACAATGAGCAGCTGTCAAAACGTACAGATCACTGATAAGTGCACCACCACAATAGAACCTTCCGCCGTACAAAAGAGCGGCCATCCAGGGGTACTCCGTCTCTTTCGTTTCATATCCGCCCACGATGCGCCGACGAGTGCGTGCTATGCCGCATTCTGAAATTATTACCATCGGTTTCGATTTTTTTTACTAATTAAGCGGATGGCCTTGAGAGGCCATTTCAGCGTCACCCTAACAAGTAGGTGAGATCACGGGGCTCAAACTGGACGACGTTGCTAGCAAGAGCAGTGCTTCGCAGAATCTACCACCGGATCGGAAACGTGACCCACTGAGAAGATCCGGCGAGAAACTCAGTGGGCTATTTCTGTGGGTTAACTTACTCGTCAATCTCTTCGCGATTACATTAAATTAACTACATTAGCATAAGATTAGATGGTAAAATTCTCCGCAACGAAAGAAAAAGAAAACACAAAAAATATATTATATATATTTTGTGTATGTGTGTATATGTATACGTTATGTCCACAAACGATCTTCACAACAAAGCAAAAACGTCATTACTGATAATATGGTAGACCAAACAGACCAGTGAGAAACTGCTCAGGTCAGGTACAAGAAAAGCGTTGTCCCAATTAAAATAAACTTTTGAGCCACACATTCCAACTTAATCGACGTTGTGATCTATATAGGCGCCAACGACAATAAATTTAGTGCTCTTAGATTTTATTGGACACGACGAATTAGAGGTTATTCCATCCAGAATCCATTTACAATTTGCGATAGTCGAGAGCTCTATCGGAACTAATTAAAACTACTTTTACGATTTAATGTCGCGTTTATTTATTGTCACTTTATTACTGTACGTCGTCAGTCAGTCGTTTTTGAACACGAAAACTGTAGAGAGTCCTAAACGTTCGAAACAATATTATGATGACAATAAGAAACGCAAAATTAAAAAGCAAAAGCATCTTTAATCACGTATACGACCGTAGAAAATACTCTAATAGAGCTGTTTTGTTTCTTAGTGTCAACATAAGCACTATTCTAATAGTTAAGTTAATTTATAATGTACTAAAATGGGTCATGCACGACGCAGTACTCACGACAGTTTGGGCAGTCCTCGGGCGGGTCGTCTATAGGTCTTAAAGTCGTGGTAGTCGTTGTGCCACCAAGGAGATTGTTGATCCAGTCTATAAATCCTTTATCCTTCTGACCGATAGGCCGCTGGGTGTAGCAGCTCGACCAGCCGACCAAGCAGATCATAATCACTGGCCATTTCATTGTTGATAACTGGAAAATTGTTAGATCAGTTCAATAATAAAGCAAGCTAACGCCGAATTCTAAAGAAAGCGAAACTGTAACAATGTCAAGGAAACCTGTTGTGATACACAAAACCTGTGTCGAAAATTCCGGTATACATATATTTAAACCACAATGTACCAAGAATTGCGAAAGAAATAGTTACGGCTTTACCGAAGAGCCTTCTTCCTATTCGTACACTCTTGACAGAGTGGTCGTGGTCAAGCATCAGTCGGATCCTGCGATACCGATGCTGTCGCGATGTGACGCCATGTGGCACGATGTTTTGCAGAGTGAGAGCAATCATTTATGTTGGAGTGAGTCACAGATTTTATAAGGTCGTTCCATCGTGTTGGAGATCGTCCGCGAGATCTTTTGCTTTACTGAGACTCTAAGTTCTTAGTTTAAGGAGCCGTATCTCAATGTTAGCACAATTTTTTTTATCTGCCATCAAAAGGACGAACCTACGAAACGTGATCGGAACATCATCTATGTTAACATTTTCAGCCAACCCTTTCTTCTTTTAATAAGCGTTCGAAAGGAACAGTAACAGTTTTGTAGAGAAATGTGGTGTTGGGATGCTTTTTTACTGCCTAGATGGGTGAACCTTGACTTGGCTTTCTGGTCGCAATCTACCTTGAGACATGAGGATGAAGTCTTAGTTTTATTATGTAAGCGAATTCCTACTATTCAAATCGGAACGTATGATTGCTTCATGGCAGAAATAGACCAGTTGCTGCCACTTACCCCTGTGGTCTTATATTGCGCCATACCATTCTTTGACCGATCATCATTCCCTATTACAAATACTTAAAGAACGCTACCCCCCATAATCCCATAATCGCTTCTACCTTTTATTATTCTCGGCCGAAACCACAAAACCAAAACATGTGGACCAGTGTTCATTGACATCTCCAGTCGCAAACAATTCGAATTTATGTTAATGAACGCATAAAATAAATATTCAATAAGGCTATAGATCACTTTACTTGAAGATCTAAACGAGGTGACTGATTTAGTTCATTAACTACTCTTTTTTTTTCAACGTACAGTGACATCTGCTCGAAACTAAGAAGTAACGAGCACTTGAGTTTCATGCCAGAAAGGGACTGCACTATATTCGACGTCATTTTTCACGTGCACCATAGAATTCAGTTTCCCACCATCAATTTTGTTGGTCATAGACAGAGCAGCCCGCCTCAAATGGAATCCCCACTAAAAATTATGACGCTCAAATCTCCGACCTCTCTTGGCTGTTTTAAATTATTTTACTGGTACGTTAAACAACACATTAGTAATAAACAACAAAATAACAGCATTTTTATTTTAGTCTTAATCTTTTTAATGCAAAGCGGTTGCTCTTTAAGAAGGCAACGTGTTTGCCTGTTACAGTTCAGAGTAATCACTCAGAATCAAGGACATCGGAACCAGGTCAAGAAACCCGCTGCTGCCAGTATTGAAATGTACCGCTACAAACGATCAGCCATCAACATCCCATTTGCATTAATAAAATAAAATTACTCGCACGTGTGTGAGGAATTAAGCAGGCATACGCAAAACGTTTCCGCGTACAACATACATACTAGTCGTAAATTGCATTGTGAATCAGGAAAACCGCAAAAGAAATCACACGGCCAATACAAATAGTTCGGCGTATTTCTTAGAACTTACTTTGTTATACCGAGTGACTAAACTCGCTAAATCGGATATGCCAAATCTTATCCCGCATTCTTGTAATGAAAACTGAATCGCAATAAATTAAAATCATAACGAAGACAGTAAATAATTTTATGGCCATTGCAAAATTTATCAGTCTAATTCTATGTCGGATGACGCCTTATTTGATTATAATTATCAGAGCTAGGCCTAATCGCCAACATGTGATTCCCGTCACTCATGAATATCGGCGTTGCCAAGAGCACGCCCATTGGGCCTACATACGGGACTCGAAAACTGGCATAGTCGCATTGCTTATTACGAGTACACCGGGCCTTTTATGCTTAAGACCACGACGGCTTCCTGCTCCAGCTCCAACTTCTGATGCTTTCTAGAGTTACATGGTATGTGTTAAAAAGCCTTCGACAGCACGATCCGACATTCTCGGCTGATTCTGAAGGGCGACATTACTTCCGCAACCATGCGTAACGCATTTCGGCCTTTACATGATCAAGTAGCAAAGGATTCAAACTTCGTAACCGTTTTTGAATAATAGAATAGGTGATCCCTTGACCCACAATAGAGTACTACTTAAATTCGTCTCTAGCCCATAGCACTCGTGTGTAATCATTATCCTACTTAACCATAGACACAGCCCACTGAGTTTCTCGCCAGATCTTCACAGTGGGTCGCGTTTCCGATCCGGTGGTAGATTGTACAAAGCATTGCTCTTGCTGGGGCCAGTGTTAGCAACACTCCAGTTTGAGCCCCGCTGCCTACACGTTAGGGTGAAATAGCCTCTCAAGGCTATTAGCATAGGTAGGGATTTTTTTTTATCCTAGCGCACTCCAGTCAGCGCGCAATTAATATGGAATAGGTACAAATGTAATAGGTTCGTTGAAAGTGCCAAGGCCGAGGCCCCTAATGTCGCTGATCCCACACCCTGCACCTTAAGTAAAGCAGCCTATAGTGCCACAGTGGCTGTAACATTTGTCCTCGCTCAAATGGAAACCTAATTGTCACTACTTATCGTTGTAGTTACGATTTTCGACAACGATGAATCGTTGAAATACGCTGAAATACTGCCTACCCACAATCTCGCAAAAGAGATGCTGGACTGTAAGAGAGAAAGAGCTGATCTGTCCTGTATGTATTTTGGGCCTCATCGATGTGTTCTCAAGGACCGGTCCAAGAGTTTTCACCGTTATAAAGAGTCAAAGGGTGAGTGAAGGTGATATGACGCTATTCAATGACCGCTAGTTCGACACAGCGGCATTTTAAAATGATACATGTGGCACTGTTTAGTCGGATTCTGGTCAGACAAATCAAAATATCAAAGGTCTGGTGTCCCGTGCCACCATGGCGTTAATTTGTACCAAACTATTGCCAAGGTTATTTAGCTCAAGATGGCCATGACCCGTGAGGCGATGACGCGATGGCCCAATCTTCGGTTACCAAACAAAAGTGTAATGTTACCTGTCGTATCACTCTTGTCAGAGCGGTCGTGGTCGTCATTCGACAGCATTGCTGTGGGCAGAAACATAAAGCAAGGGGAAACCACTGCGCTAATCTTCCAAAGAAAGTCTTTATGAAAAGTGTAATAGATACATCATGTCCAGTGATTATAAAAAGCTGAAATGATATGGTAATTATAATTGAGTTGCCACACAGCAATGGAGCGTAAATTGCGTGTTTCTCAACATTCCCAGAATGATAGTGAAACTCTGCGTTCTTATATTTCCACTTTTACTTTCTTTAAAAAAAAAATATTATATTATTATTATTATAGTCCATATTTATTTAAAATCTTATTATTATTACACTATTTTTTATAAATATATTTAAAATAAAAAAAATTAAAAACACTATATAAATATAGATGATAATAATACATATACAAATCTTTAAATATAATATGATGACATAGACAAGTACCTAAACAATGCCATCTAGTCTTAAATGGTTAACAAGACGTGAATGCTAAAACATGACATCCAAGTTTCAACTGTAATTATTGTTTCACCCTTGAAGTCGCAACACATTACTGCTTCTCAACAGTGATAGGCAGGGTAGCGGTACTTACCCACTTAGGCTCACACGACGACCTACCATTAGTAAAAAAGATTTAGAAAAATGAAGTAAAACTAAAACCTTAGACAATATACCAAGGTTAGGTATTGGCGCGACTTTAGTAAGGCTAGTAAGACTTGAATAAAATATCGTTATCACCTTATTATAATATAAAAGTTATTATTTACAAATCAAAAATCCAATAACCGGACTCAAACGATGATTTACGGTAAGATAGAAAGAAAAAACTTGTTGATTTGAGGCTTAGAAAAAATTTTTTTTTATTGCTTAGTTGGTTGGACGAGCTCACAGCCCACGTGGTGTTAAGCGGTTACTCATTACACGGTCATTGTAATATTTGCGGTGCCTCGAATCCTTCACAGATTTCATATTAAAGAACAACTAAGACCTATCCGTCGACATTTTAATACTAGCTTTACGAGTCGCGGAAACCGAAAAAACACTACAATCCATTTTCATGTCAGTTCCACTGACTCGAAGTCAATCGTGTCCTTCTTCAAACGCGGTTTGTGGAAAGAACCTAACGGTAAGCAGCTGCTTGGCTCTACCCCTTGCATTGCTGACGTCCACGGGCGACGGTAACCACTCTTCTTCTGGTGGGTATGCTCGTCTGCCAACAAAGGCATTATACCTGAACATGCAATTTCGAAGTTTGTTTTTCTATTGCATAGGTCGGCAGATAGACATCCACAACGTAAATGGGGCCACCCGCCGTGAAATATAAGTTCTAAGATCTCAATATAGTTACAACGGCTGCCCCACCCTTCAAACCTAGAAATAGGCAGGATGGTGGTACCTAGCCATGCGGACTCACAAGAGGTCCTACCACCAGCAAAAAAAGTATACAAATTAAATTTATTAAGCACGTGGATACAAATATTGAATCCCTTTCAAGTGTGCACTATGAAATTGAAACTTCGTTCTTATTATGCGGCAGGCGTCGTGATTTGTGTCCTGTCAATGGTAAAGATTTAAAACGTTAGAGAGTTTTATCGCACTTCCTATATATTTAAATAAAATGGAAAGTTCAAGGCTTTAATTATACGTACTTAAAGAAAGGCAAATTATGTTGAGAACATTTTTTTTTTTAAATAAAATACATATACATTAATTTTCTACTTGCATTTTATTTAATAAACAACACGTTTTATTATGTAAAAAAAACAACCTAAAAACACATATAGTGCAATAAAACCAAACTTGATTTCTATATACTGTATTAAAGTGCATTTTTAATAAAATAAAAAATAATAACTGAGGACAAATCACACACTGTCATAGGGCCCCAAATTATAATAGGGATTACCTGTGTTATGCCACAGACTGACATACATACATAAATATGTTTAAATACATAAATATATAGATAATAAACACCCAACCAATGAACAAACAAACCAGTTCACACCACACGCACAGGCATTGATAAAATTACTCAATTCTTATTAATACAAAAAAAAAAGTTAATAGTTTAATACTTAAACATAACTTTTAAAAAAAAACAGAATATTAATTCAAAAATTACCTCCGAACACAGACGTGGTACAGACAAAAAATAATAGGTACGTACCAAAATATCGATTGACGATATGCAGAGATCTATAACACCAACGCGTACGTATTCAAGGCCCGAAATCAAGGACGGCGAGCGACTTTGACCACCGCGATGCTCGCACTGAACGAAAGCAGTGAAAGAACTAAAACTTTCACCGAGATCTGTGCCACGTCGTCCTTACCTCCACATTGCATGTCCTGGGAGCCCGCACGCCTAGTTATAACCAATGCCGACGCGATAATAAATTCCAGAGCATAATTCACGGTAATCTTTTTTCTGTGAATGCCGTAATTATTATTATGAGCTGATGTGGGATTCTAATTTGCCAACACGCAAACGTTTAAGTTATCTGTTTAAATTGGATGCTCGTGATTGTAACGATTAGTGAACAAAATCTGTATCTCAACAGAGAAACAGTTTGTGTGACAGTTAATCCGGATAGCTATGATCTCTTTGGGTAACAATCATCCCTTTTGGTAAGGTTGATACTTTTAGGTAACATATTTTAAGTAACGTTTTCATATTTAGTTGAAAATTATACCAGAGATGACGTTCTTTAAATTTGTAATTCAATGGGAATGAAACATAATGCATTTTCCAGGAATAAAAACTAACTCGTGTCACTCTCGTGTCTATGAACTTCCAGCACTATAACTAGTCTGGCCATAAATACTGTTACATAAAAACTTTTCTTTTTTTCAACTTTTTAATTATTTTGAATTTGAACCATGTATATTATTTTAAAAACTTCTTTCGATTTTGCGCCATTTCACATATTTTTTCGTGTTCATTATCAAATTACAATTACAAGGGGTGTTAAAGAAAATAGGATTGAAGTGATCGCCTTGCACAAAGTGGATATGGAGTCGTCGGTCATATTCCAGACACTTCAAAAGCTTGGTATCAGCTGTATGTTCGTAGATCGTACTATCAACAGATACAACAACACTTCTATCGTCTGTCCAATACCAGAAAAGATCTGGGCGGCTGCGTGCTGTTAGACTTACAAAAGCTATTAATGCTGTAAAAGCCAGAATTCGCCGACCACCCTTAGGATTTTTTTTTTGCCCTTGTAGGCAGACGAGCATACGGCCCTCCTGATGGTGAGTGATTACCGTCGCCCATGGACTTCAGCAATGCCAGGAGCAAAGCCAAGCCGCTGCCTACAAAGCAAAATTGCAGGAAGCAATAAATCTTGTCACGAGACATGAAGATTCCTGCTAGGACTCTGTCGCATATTATAAAACAAGACCTGAAGCTTATCGACGATAATATATACCATGCCCTAAATAAATATTTACAATAAAAGAGAATGAATCGATAAAAACGCCTTCTGTCGCGATACGCAGGTGAAAGATACAGAAATATCCTCTTTACCGATGAAAAAATGCTCACGACTGAAGAACACTACAATAAGCAAAATGATAGTGTACGCTCACAGTTCTAAAGAAGCTGCTCAAGTGGTCGGAAAGGTACAGCGTGGTCATCATCTTGCGTCAGTGATGGCTTGGTGGGACGGAGTCTCAAAACTACATTTTTGTGAAAAAGGAGTAAAAACTTCAGCCAAAGTGTATCAAGATACAGTCTTGGATCATGTTGTGAAATATACCGTGAATATACCGTGGACTTTCCAGCTGGACTCTGGTTTTCCCAAATCCCTTTACTGTTAAGAAAATGTATGCTTTAGTAGATGACAATTTCTGGATTATTTTTTAATGCTGGAGTAGGCAGACGTGCGTACGGCCCACCTGATGGTGAGTGGCTACCGTCGCTCATGAACTTTAGCAATGCCCAGGGCAGAACCAAACCGCTGCTTACCGTTAGGTTTTGAGTAGAATTCGTTGTTGGTAGTCAAGCAGCGTCTATCCTCCATCGTTCAGGGTCGCATTCTCACCTTCTCCGGACATGTGTCGCGACGGGGTGACGACTCAGCTGAGGGCCTTGTGATGCTGGGCATCATTGAGGGTACAAGACCGCGCGGCAGATCACCATTACGATGGACCGACCAAATAAAGGCAGTTTTAAACGGTCCCGTCACCGAGTGCACAAGAAGGGCGGTACGCGAGGGATGGCCATATCTTGTGAAGTGCACCACCCGAAATGATGAACACGACCTAGTCTGCCACGAGTGCAAACGAATGCATGTATGTCAGTCTCTGGTAACACATGAAATCCTAATTGAAAAGCCGGATAACCTTCCGTGATTTGTTCCCAGTTTATAAATGCTAAATAACGACTGATGATAAATTGTGTTTATTAGAAATTATATTTAAATACGAATTGCATATTGATAAAATGATGAAATATGAATGATATTTTTCGATCTTACCGACAGAATAATAGAAAAATATGAACTGGATATTTAAAGAAAAATCAAAATTATCGATAAAGTTGATCATTGAAAACACGAATAAAACAACATTTTCTGAAAATAAATCGTAGCTAGATCGATTTATCGCCCCTGAAATCCCCAGTATACTAAATTTTATGGAAATCATTGGAGCCGTTTCCGAGATTCAGATTATATATATATATTTAGATACAAGAATTGCTCGTTTAAAGATATAAGATATTATTAATTATAATAAATATAATATTAGGTATATTTATAATAATTTTTATTAATTTAAACAGTGGGGTTATTTTCAACAAGTCCCTTATATCACGTTCCGATATTTACTGTGTTTGATAGTCCTGTCTCGCCTAGGCCGAAAACAAAAACTCAAGATATACCCGGGTTCTACTGTTTCTGAATAACAGGAAATCGGTATTCAGAGTCTATGAAGTTTTTAATAAAACTTTTAGGCAACGCTATTTCTATTGGAATAAAAGATTTACGGTCGAAATTGGACAAGAGTATTTTTTTTTTAGGATTGAAGGATTACTGGTGGCCCGGAGGCCTTTCCAGTTTCACCAGGACAGGTGGACAAGAGTATTACTCGCTAGCCAATGGCTAATGAATCTATCATAGGACTTAATAAAAATTAATTTACTGCGCCAAAAAAACAAAACAAAACACTTATTTCGCGAAGTGTATTTTATACCGTGTGAACATAATTTTAACGCCTACGGAGCTTTTGACTTTTGCCACCGTGAAATAAAAGTGTGTACTTTTCTGCCAGGAGTTGAAAAAAAAATGGACAACACTTACAGCCTTAACAAATTATACAAAATCATGAATAAATCGATTGGAATAACATAACAAAATACTCTTTTAAACTTTTTCTTATAATGTCCAAAAGAACCGAATAGAAGAATTATTTTGAAATGAAAACATCATTAGTAACGCTGTGTTCTGAAATCCGATAGAACGAAAAAACCAACACTAAAAAGAGACAAATAACTAAGTAGTATGGCCATAAACTCAGTTACATAAAAACTTTTCTTTTTTTCAACTTTTTAATTATTTTGAATTTAGAACAATTATATTATTTTAAAAACTTTCGATTTAGCGCCATTTCACATAATATTTTTTCGTGTTCATTATCAAATTACAATATGGAATGGGGTGTTAAAGAAAATAGGATCGCAGTGATTGACTTGCACAAAGTGGGTATGGAGACGTCGGTCATATTACAGACAATTCAAAAGCCTGGTATGAGCCGTATGTTCGTATATCGTAGTATCGACCTCTCCCTAAACCAGAATACCTATTCCTACTAATTACCTCGCTCCTTCTGTGACATAAGAAATGAGCAGGATATAGCATCCTACCTACATACCTACCCGTATAGGCTCACAAAGCCCCAGTACTGTACGTAAATTTATAAATATCTGCGGGTAATATTTTGCGGGTATGTCGTGAAAACTCTACGTACATTTGCGTACGGGAAATTACAAATAACGTGAAATCGTTCAGATCATAGCCCTTTAATTAGACGCTATTAAAACGTTACCTATTTACAAAATTTGGGCTTACATTTGATATTTTTATTCTGTAAAAAAACTGGTACAAAAATTACCTAATCATGTTTTAGCCGCACCAGTCTCCAAAGACGAAAAATTGGTTGACACAAGACGAATGTTCTATTATCACATATTGTTTCTACTTTTCAATACATAAAAAAGACGCAAGAGCGTTGTTATCAATTGGTTGTTAAGCTCTTTTCATAAATTAAAGCAAATAAAAGTATCCAATAACGCCAAGAAGTATTTGATCGTTCTTGCGTTGAGATTGCCTTGATAATTCTGTCAGGATGTTTTGCATTGAACTACCTAAAACTTAGGTTGTTGTCGTGGAAAAGTATTGTTTACAAGTTTTTTTTTCATTTTAATAAATGTAAATACCAAATTTTTTCCATTAATTTTAAGATAAAAACTTATTTAATTTAAACTTTTATAAAAATCAATTTTATTGGTTTCGTGATAATGCGTTTGCTGGTTGTTTATACGGTTCAGTTAAAACTTAGTTTATTATTGGCAATTAAGAGAATGTGTTTATCATAATACCATCACCACTACTACTGCAGAGGGCACATGAGACTAGAGACATGAGTTTTTATTTTATTTATAATCTAGATATAGTTTTTTTAATTTTTATTTATAAGTTAGAGATAAGTTAGAGACCTTGTGATGGACGCGACCGTTAAATAACAAAAATAATGAATGCATATCGAGGGGTGAAATACCATTTGGTTTAAGCGACATTTATCTTCGTAATTAAAGATGCATTTTATCTGGTATTAAGATCAACAGTCCGATGTCATTAATTGAACATCAATTATGTTTACTCCATTGAAATAGCTGACGAAACTTTTTGTTATGATATTTTTTTCTAAATTTTAAACTTTAAATGGCTCTGTTCTAAATTTAAATAAATTTCACTTAAACCTAATAGCCTTTCACCCCTGGATATAACAATTCACGACACTATCACTGTTATGTGATAGAGACAGCGATATACTCCCATTACGTTCGCGCTGTTTCGTAATCCCAAATGTGAAATATGCATTACCTAAAAACTAACTCGACATAAACAACAACAACTAACTACTAATCTTAATTTAGCTTCAACATAAATAAAAATACAGTTATGTGAGGAGGGAGCGTCCTAAAAAGACTTGGATGGACTGTGCGAATTGCGAGGGAAAAGCGTCAGGGCGACGATGTCATATGACAGATCTGAGTAAAAAAATAGGACAGAACTACAAGTCAGATAAGAACCACAAGATTTATATCTGGTGTTCAATTAAAAATAATAAGAGGAGACCT